TAATCTATAATTAGTCATACATGAAAGACTAGTTTATTTAAAGATGAAATTTTTTTACAACATTAATATTCTGTAAAACACACTTTAGGAACAGGCAATTACTGTCTTGTGAAATAACTACTTAATTCTACTTCAGAACTGATAGTACATTTTGGTCTAGAAAGACTATATTCCTAACCAAACAAGATGAAGAAAAAGAGATCAGGAGAAGTGTGTCATTTGGGAAATGGTTTGGGCTGTTTTAGAACTGAGGTTCAATTATAATGGCTTAAATTCATTAGGATCTCAATCTCTCCTCTGTCTCTTATTTTCTCTCTCTCTCTCTCTCTCTCACACACACACACACACACACTCTCTCTCACACACACACACACACACACACACATATATTCTGGTGGTACACAGTTGAAGAATGCTATGTTGTCCTAAAAAGTCATGAGAAACTTACATTCTTTTTATTCTGTCATCCTTATTTCATGGCATCCATACTCTAAGTTACATAATGGTTGCCAGGAAGAAAGGGCAAGCAAGACAAGGCATAAAATCCTCTCTGCCAAGCTGAATCAGCCCACGACTTATTTTTTTAATTGAGTTAAAATTAACATACAGTGGAATGTATAGGTCTTATATGTAAATTTTAGTAGGTATACTATATAGGCAACACCCTAGTTAAGAGATAAAATATTTCTATAATGGTAACAAATTACTTTGAATCTCCTTCTACTCAATTCTGATCCTTATAGGCGGCCACTGTTCTGGTTGATTGTCACAGCTTAGTTTTGCCTGTTTTTGAACTTCACATAAATGGATTCATACACAGTATTCTTATCTGTGTCTAGATTCTTTCATCTCAATGTTTTTGAGATTTATTCATGTGATAGCATATATCATTGGTTCTATTTTTTTTTATTTTTGCTAAGCAGTATTCTAGTGTATGAATATACCACAATGTTCATGCACTCTCCTGTTGGTATACATTTGTGCTGTTTCCAGCTTTGAATTTTTATGAATAAAGCTGCATAACTATTCTTGTACGAGTCTTTCTGTGGAAACATGTATAAATTTCTGTGTACTGAGAAGCCTAGGGAAAAGCAACTGTTCAATAGTAATGACCACACCTAGTACCCAATTCTTGATTTCTGAATACTGTTCTCCATTAAAAGGGAACCAGAGCTTTTTAGAGAAATGTCTGATCCAAGGTGCAGGGACAGGGAAAGTACAAGATGAGCCTGGAATAAGATGTTTGTTTGCTTGCTTATTTACTTATTTACTTAAGAAATAAAAATTCAAAATTTTATTTTATAACCCATAAAATCCATGAAGAAAGGAATTGATGAAAAGTTGGATATTTACAGTCCTCCCCCTTAAAAGTTATTAATTACAGTGAGAAAAAGTAACTTTATGGTGGAAAAAACTGACAAGCACCACCTTCGTCAAGTGCTTACAGTGAACATTACCAAAAATGTATACCTATATAGTCAACACCCCAGTTAAGAGATAAAATACTATATAGTACGGTAGGTAAAATAATGCCCCCTGCACAAGATGTCTACACTCTAATTCCCAAACCTGTAATATTCTCCCTTCAATAGGACAAGGGACTTTGTAGACATGATTAAGGATTTTGAGATGGAGATGTATCCTGGATTATCCAGGTGGATCCAATGTAACTACAAAGATCCTTAAAAATGGAAAAGGGAGGCAGGAGAAATCAAAGAAGGAGACAGAATGAAAGCAGAGTTCAGAGTGATATGATTACTGGTTTTGAAGTTGGAAGAGGGCTATGAGCTGAGGAATGCAAGCAGTCTCTAGAAACTAAAATAGAGAAGCTAGATTCTCCCCTAGAGACTGCAGAAGTAATGCAGCCTTGCTAATACCTTCATTTTAGTCCAGCAAATCCATTTCAGGCTTCTGATCTCCAGAAGTATAAGATAAATTTGTGTGGTTTAAATCCACTAAATTTGTGTTAATTTGTTACAGCAGCGAAAGGAAATGAATACGAGATGTATCAAAATCTTGTGCCACCTCATAGGATGTGAGAGAAAATTAGCATTACTTTCTATATTTCTGACAAAGGCACAGAATCTAAATTTAGTCACAAGGACACATTAGACAAACAAAAATGATAGGACATTTTATAAAATAATTGGTCTGTAATCTTCATTATTGTCAAGGTCATGAAAGTCAAGGAAAGACCAAGGAACTCTTTCATATTGAAGGAGACTAAAGAGAGATGACAACTAAATGCAACACTTGATTCTGAATGGGATTCTTTTTCTATAAAGGTGAAATCTGAGTAGGATCTGAAGATTAGGTAGTAGTAATATATTGATTATGATTATGTAGGAAATGTCATTGTAGAAAATACACACAAAAGTATTCATAGGTAACAGTGCATCATGTCGACAACCTATTCTCAAATAGTTTACAAAAAGTTAATTATACTGTACTTGCAACTTTTCTCTAAATTTGAAATTGATCCTGTTTTCAGTAAAAAATAAAACTAGAGAGAAAAACCCTATATACATAGATTATATTTAAGTCTTTGGAACCTTATGAATAAACTTTCTAGCGTGAATTAACTTGCCCAAGGACAGGTAACTAGTAGGTAATAGAAGATAATATTAAATGACAGATGCAAACTTCTGGCCCAGATTTAAAAGATTTTTCCCTGCAGAAGACAGTTCTTTTACATTATCTGGGGTCAGTTTAAATTATCTAAAAAATTTCAGATGTTTCTGTTTTCAAAGTTGAGTTTAAATCCAGTCTCTGATATATCAAAGCAAGTACATGGAGATCTTTGATACCTTTGGCTTATGTTGTCCAAATCCAGGTCTTAGGACTGATAGGGAGAGACTGGGGATGTCAGTGGGTGGGACTTGGGGAGTGAGAGATGAGAAGGAAGGGTGTTTTCTTCAACTTAAATCTGTCTCTGCTTTTCAGAACATTCTTCCCACCTTCCAATTCTCCCCAGATAAAAACCCAACATTAGGGATGGGTACCAAAATGTTTGGGGAATGTAAAGAGTTTTGTGGGAGAGAGAGAAAACCATTATATTTCCTTCTCTGCAACTAAGAAAGTAGAATGACATAGCCTACATGTCATTATATATTTTTTCACATATTGTAAAAACTCATTTTCATTATGACTTTCTCATATGAATATTTAAAGTGTCAGTGTTTCCAGTATTTTCTGAATGCATTCTGCAAGATCGTGGTTCTAATTTAAAATTCCATTTTTGTCAACAGCTCATCCAAGTAATGACAGCTCAAACAAGCAGCATATGTTCTTCATTCATTTTTGTCTCAAATAATTATTTGAGAAAGCAATTATTAGTTACTAATTTGTCAAAAGATATTTTTATTCATTTATTTAACTATCGAACCTATAGTCTGGTACTATTAAGGTACTGTGACACCTTATAAGTACACTTTTGTTACATGAAACTAAATCTCCACTTTTCTCCCTCTCTTCCACAGTCTTCTATCTCTTCTGAACACTTTACTAGTTCTTTCCATTGCATTCTATCATTCTCTGTTCAATTGTAAAAACTTTCTGCATCAGCGAACCTTCCTAAAAATATTTTTTTGTTATAATAACATAGTCAACATCTGACTTTTCCCTGATATCTTTAACCATGAAATCTGTTATAACAAGATAATTCTTATTTTCTCCAATGCATATGAAAAAAGGGTTAAGCCTTTCCTTACTTCCCACCCCTTTAGTTGTCCTCATGCAACTTCCCCTTTTGCTTTCCAAAGCCTTAAGCCACCTGCTGCTTATACTTGTGTAGCCTAGCTTTCTAGGCTACATCAGCCTATGATTGATGAGGGTATGTCAACAGGGCACAAGAGACAACTGAAATAGCTTCTAGTTACTAAAGTTGGAACAATTTGACCAACAAAATAAAAAGCAGTATTGAATTATAACCTAAAGTATATGATAAATGCCCAAAGCCAAAGTATATGATAAATGCCCATGAGTCCTACTGATACAAATAAATCATTGAATAAATTCATAAATAGAAAAGAAGAAATAGATCTCCCATATAGAGTATCTCCAAATAATTTATGTAAGTACTCTACTCTCAAGAACGGGGAGAATAACGCCCCACTCTGTAAGTGTGGGCTGAGCATAGTGACTTCCAAAGAGTATGTTGGAGGTGGGGGTAGGTATGTTGGCAGGAGGGTAACTTTGGAGTGAAGAAATGTGACAAAATCTACCTCAACCAAGTGATCAAGTTTCACATTAACAGCAAGAAGTCATGGGACAGTATATATTTTTGATATGATGAAACTGGCACTTTGCCTCTGCGGTCTTCCTTCCAAAAATCCATACTTAAGTCTAATACGAAGACAAACATCAAATTCCAATGGAGGTCATCCTACATAATTTCTGACCAGTATGCCTCAAAACAGTTCAGGTCATTAAAAAAAAAAAAAAAAAACAAGAAAAGGAGAAAATATCACAACCAAAAGGATTCTAAGACACAACTAAATGTAATATGGTATCCTGATGGGATCCTGGAACAGAAAAAGAACATTAGGTAAATACTAATAAATCTAAATAAAGTATGGATTTTAGCTAATAATACTGTATCAATATAGGTCTCTTGTTTGTAACAAATATAACACATTAATGTAAGATGTTAATAACAAGGGATACTGAGTGTAGGGTACATAAGGACCCTGTACTATCTTCTCATTTTTCTATAAATCTAAAACTGTTCTTAAAATTTTTTAAAGATAGTTTAGGGCTACATGTAAGGTTGATCTCTAAGTCTTTGCCCTTGCTTCCTCACTGTATACTGATTAAATGTTCAAACTTCTTAGCTAGTATCTAAGCACCCAGCAGGTTGCAAAATATTGTCTCCTGATAATTTATAATTCTTCCTACCAAGAGGTGAAGTCTTTTCTTCCAACTCATATATGTGCTTGGTCAATGACTTGCTAATGTGAAACAACTAGAAGCTTAAAAAATGCTTGAGCATTTAGTCTTACCTTGTTTGCTGCACTTGGAACATTGCTGCCACATGAACGAGCTCAAGCCAGAAAACTGAAGTGACAACATGGAGTCTCGAAGTGAGCCACACCAGCCATCAACCTATAACATAGACATGTGAATGAGGCCATCCAGTCCCAGTTGGTTTTCTAGCTGACTTCAGCTGCATGACTAAACATGAAACAGCAGAACTGACCAAATGCTACCAGTCCCAATTACCAACCCACAGTGAACTTAATCTGTTTTAAGATACCAAAAGTTGGGGTGTTTTGTTACACAACAAAGCAGCAAAGACTGATACACCCCTCAATGACCCTACCCCACCCAAGTCACATTCACGATTTTGTTTTCCAGAATTCCCCTATGTTCCACTTAAATTGCATGGTTTTTTATTCCCTAGAAATTCTTTGCACTTTCCCAAATATTGCCTCACAAAATTTTCCTCCACCTGAAGTCCCTTTATTCTCACGTCTCTGCTTAAGGATCGCTCATCTTCCCCTTCTAATTTCATAAATTTTCATAAATTCATAAAACCCAAAAGTTTCATAAATATGAAGAGGGGGAGAAAATTTGGTTCAACAGAGTCCCTCTTAGAAAGTGCAGAGCATTCTCAAGAAACGCTTTGGTGTGAAGGGCGAAGGGCATTGCATGGATGAAGATATGGACTCAGCTGTAGAAACAGAAACCCAAAATATAAATAAATTAAGAAGGAGATAAAAGTTTCCCTCTCTCCCATGTAACATTCAGGACATAATCACACAAGGACAGGTACAGGGACTCTATCGTGTCAGTCCATCTTATTGCGCTAGTATTCCTGTTGCCCTAGTCTGCTTAGTTCAAGATGACTCATTACCACTACATCCACTCTCCAGACAGAAGGCACAGGGAAAAGTGAAAAGAAGGGAAGGTTCATTCCTTTGGGGTGGGGTGGGAGGTGGGAACAGATGTTGTACACATCAGTTCTGCTTACATTGCATTAGCCAGAGCGATAGTCATATAATGATCCCTGGCTGCACAGGAGTCTAATAAAATGTAATATTATCTTGGTACTCAAATATTCTACTATTACTATAGAAGAAGGGAAGAACAAATATGGGAATCAGTAGTCGTCTCGGCCATTAAGTAAGATCAAGTATATTTTAGCCTGCTAAAACACTATTTATAAGGCAAAAAGGAACTGGCTTTTTTTCCTGAGAGGTAGGATAGAGAGTAGAAGAGGAAAGAAAAGCCAGGAAAATGGAAGAAGGCTATGACTCCTCCCTGGAACTTTTAACTCTCCTATAAAGCCTCTAAATTCCTGGAATGTGAAGCCTGTGGTAACAGGTGAACAAAGTGATTCTTCAAGGCAAAATACAGTATATGCTTGGATGAAATAATTAGAGTAAGAGAGAGTCATGATAGTGTAAAACCCTGAGTATGTGAGGGTGACTATGGAAAGCTTTGAACATAACAGGACTTTGGGCAGTTGAGGCAATCATACATAGATTTCATGGAACAGGAGATAGGAGGCCCAAGCTGACATGTGAGTACCACCACAGTTCCTTTTAAAATCCACAACTTTTAAACAAACAAGGGTGCTAGAAGCAGGATTGAGCATAAGTTAAAAAAAATGGTTTCTTTTTTTACAAAATCAGTATAGAGTCTCTAATTACTCTACTTATAGCTACTATAAAGTTAGCAATTTGAGAGAGCTTTTAGTTAGGCTTAACATAGTGTTAGTTTTAGCAACTGAAAATAGACATGAAGTATGAATCACTTTCTTACTGAAATGTAGGCTAAATGTAACCATCACAGGTTTCAAGAATTTCATCTCAATTTCTTCTCAGTCACATTTTGTGTACTGACACTGAGACATCAGTAAAGGAAACAGGATGAACTGGCCAATTTCTGTCTTTCTGAAAGAGCCAAATGAACTATTATAGCTTATGTTGGTGGAAACAGCACAGCAGATGGACAACTGTGTACTTCAGGCCTGATCATTGCTGAATAGATCTCATCATGAGTAGAAGCTCCCATGTAGAAAGTTTATTTAGAAGCAAATAAGCCTAAACCAAGAGTCATCAAGAAGTCCTACATGAGCTTCCACATGTCATTTTTCACAGAAAGTGATTTTTCAGATATTGACCAGATACAACACAAGATAGCCCTCTCAGAAGAAACTCCTTGTTGAACAAGTTAGTTCTGTCCTTCCTATGCAAGTTGTGGGAGAACAGAAGTTGAAATGTCTGGTCAGCTAAGAAATGCAGAACATGACTCTATCTTGTTTGAGCTACTGTTTGGGCAATTTTTTTTTGCCCAGATTCAGGTAAACTCTATGTTACTAATTACTGACATGTAGAATTCAGATAATTTTTATAAATAGTTCATGCTATTAGTAATGTAATAAATATGGGAATATATATTATGCTCAGAAAACATTCTTTTTCTACATACTATGGCTTGCAAGTGCTGGTATCAGTTATATTTTAAAATATGATGAAAATAATATGTAGTAAATTTTTTCAGCTTCTAACATAAAAAATTTACAAATCCTAATCTTTTTAATCCCTTTATCTCCTGTGAGAGGGGGTAATTTCCAGGTACATGTTTCCTCCAATCTCCATTACCTGTGGTATAATGTTGTAAATTGGAATTCTAGTCCTGGGTATCCATTCCATATTTCCAAAACTCCAAAATCTATCACAAAAAAAAAAAAGAGAATGATAATGAACTATAACATGTATACATACTTTGTGCAAACTTTTACAAATTACAGAAAATCAAATACCACTTAATATAAATGCTATATATTAATTATTCCTTTAGTATAATACTTTTGAGCTATTAATGGGCTGCTGTTCCTTACAGCACTTTCTTATGCCTATTATTCTTCTCCCACCATAAACGGAGTTTTGATAGTTTTTATATACACTACCTCAGAGGAAGAACATATATACAAGCTAAAACAAAGAAGTGAATTAAATTTTTGAATGGACTTTTATAACTTTATGTGATAGAATTAAAATCCAGAGCCAAAACTATGGAGAAAAAAAAGGCTCTGGAGCTTCTAAAACTTTTCATTTAAAAACTAAGGGTCTACACCCTCTAAGTCAGAGTTTCTATCATGGACCAGAACATAGGGAGAATGGTAAGAGCAGTTTTCATAACCAAAAGGAAATAAAAATTTTGAAAAGCTAACGAATGCTAGTGGGTACTTGGGCAGCTCCCCTCCACGCACACCATATATGCTACTCCCTTCTTGGCATCAAAATCCTAGGTCTGGGGGAAAGGAATAGAAACCCCAGATAAATCTGTGGAATTACAGAGAAGAAGGGAATACTTTTTTCCAAGGTTTAGTCAAAAGACTCCATGTTTTGGTTAGCTAGTGCTGAAAAAATAATTACTTTAAAACATCGTGGCTTAAGACAACAATAATCATTTTATTATTGCTCAGAGTTTCTGTGGATCAGGATTTGGGGATAAGCAGTTCCAGCTTATCTCCTGGTCTCTCGTGCCATTGTAATCAGGTAATGGCTGGAACTATAACAATGGATGGAGGGTGTCCACAAATCCATTTGAAAGGTGGAGCCCCATACCTATCCCCTTGAATATGGGCTGGCCTTAGTGTCTCACTTCTAACGAATAGTGTAAAATAAAAGTGACAGTGTGTAACCTCTGAAACTAGGTCATAAAAGACATTCAGCTTCCTCCTTGCCCTCACTCTTGTATCACTTGCTCCTGGGGAAATCCCATGGAAAGTCCTACATGGCAGGAATTTAGGCCTCCAACCAATAGCCAGGGATGAAGCTTCTTGCCAACAACCTGTGAGTGAGCCATCTTGGAACTAGATTTTCCAGTTTCAGTCAAGCCTTCAGATGACTGAAGCCCCAGCTGATACCTTGATTGCAACCTCATGCAAGTCCCTAAGCAAATTACTTACCTAAGCTGCTCCTAAATTCCTGAGCCACTGAAGCTGTGAGGTGATAAATACTTGCTGTTTTAAGCCACTACATTTTGGAGTAATTTATTATACAGCAACGGATAACAAATATGGAGGGGAGGCTGAAGAGGCTAATGGCTCTCTAGTCATCCTTCTCTTTTCATATGGTCTCAGGGCCTCTCCATGTAATTATTCTGAATGGCTAGTTTGGGCTTCCTCACAGTATGGCAGCTGATAACTGCCTATATGTTGGTTGCTTCCTTGACGGCTGATAGGCCTCTCATGATCTATTTTCCAAAGTCACATAGCACCACTTCCTGCATGCTCTATTGGTTAAAATAAGCCACAAAAGCTATCCAGCTTCAATGAGAGGATTAATAAATATCCACCTCTTAATAGGAAGAGTGTCAAAGTTATACTGCATGAAGAGCATGTTGGACAAGAGATATTGTTGCATCCATCTATGGAAAATACAGTATCCCACATTTAGGCCAAGTGCCACACCCAATTGGGCACCTGAATAGTAGATCAGCAGAGTTATAAATTTAGGAGTCATCAGTGTATAGAGAGCAATTAAAGCCATTAGAGTGGATAATAATCATTTTGGAAGAGAGGATAGAATGAAAAAGAGATGTAGGCCTAGGAGGTCACTGTGAAGAGCTCTGCTATTTAAAAGACAGGCCAGCTAAGAAGAGTTTAGAGAAGTGGGAAGAATTCCAGAGTATTTGAACTCAAAATCAAGAGAAAAAAAGAGTATTCAGAGAAGGAAGAGGTGGTCATTTCAGAAACATATGCTGCTAAAATATTAAGTTTATAATAATAGAATATCATTCACTGGATTTAGCAACGTGCAGCTCATTAATGATCTTCAGTGGCTGCACTGGAGGCAGAAACCAGACTATAGTAGTTGAAAACCTAGAAGAGGGAATAAAAATAACCCTGAGAGGGAGATGAAATCAAAAGCACATAAAAAAAAAAATTAGCCTTGAATAAGAGAAGAAACTTCTCTAGGATTGGAGGGAAGGAGTTCAAGATGAGCACAGATGAGTATATAAATGGGGGCTGGGGAGGCCCCCACTTATATAGCCATGAGAGGGAGTTAATGCTTTAAAGTCTCTGTGAATGTCATTTGTTGAGAGAGGTAGAATGAATAATTATCAGGATCGGAGGAGCACTCTTCAGGCTTGTTACCAAAAAAATGACAGATTTATTTTTTACAAACCTGTATTCATACAACTGTGACTTAAAAACTTCACTGGGATTGAGTTTTACCTTTTACTTGTTTAAATAACAATAAAAACAAGTGAAATCAATCACTCTATTTCTATTTAAAATTTAATAAAAATAAAACACCTTGTAATATCAGATTTTACTACCCAGTGAATATGGGGATTATAGGAAAACCCTGGTCACTTGTTGCATCCTACCATCAGTTATAAGCTACCTATCCTAAGGAAATATGATTTTTAAATCCGTCATCCTATGTACTAATTTATCAAAATGTAGTTGCAGTGAAGAGAGTAGTAGGAAAGGTCTAAAAGCAAAAGGCTTCAGATTTCTTTTTGTTTTCACCCATTGCAGGAGACAGGTTGCTTATATAGCTCTATATTTACTATGACATTTTCAAATAACATAGTTATTTATAACATTATGTATGAGACATTGTTGTATCATATATTTTTCCTGCAATTGGTCTACAAAGGTAAAGCTGCATGGGTTCCTTCTCAGAAGAGATTCTTGTGGAAATTTGTTACAGGCTCAAGATCAAGAGTGTTCTTGATATAGAATGATTCCATAGCAGATGGCTCTTTGGCAAAGGAAAAGAAAGACTGCAGTATCATGTGAAAAATGAACTCCTGTTTAACAAAAATAGAGCTTATCCAATTATGAAAGAAACAGAAAAAGAAGTTTCACCTTCAGACAATGGCTGTATAGCCTTATGTCTTACTATACCAAGTTGAACCAACACAGACTAAAGTTCAGCATAAATGTAAACTCCTAATAAAGAAATATAAATAGACACAGAAAAAAAGACATTAGTGATACTGTGACTACTGCAGCCACATATTTTCTTAACCCTAAGTTTGCTAATATCAATAAAATACTGCTTCAATAGCTACAATTATAAAACATGATTATATATATCCTCTAGTCTGAACAGAGAACCCACAGAAACTGTACTTTCCTAATTCTGTTTTTTCCAATTTCATTAAATTAAAAATATATACTACATGTCTTCACCCAGTCTGCCCACTTAAGATGCAGTCATTATAACCTTAATTAATTTATAATGAAATTAAATTATATCCTGGAATTAAACTTAATATGCTTATACTTAACATAATGTATATATTCTTAAATTAAGTAGTTATTAAAAGACCAGGTTGATAGTTTGGGTAATTTTTGAGAGGAATAGCTCGCTTGATCAACAGTGTTTTTTGTTGAGTTTGGATTTTAACTTTAACAATTTCAGGTCAAGACCTTTAGCTCGCATGTGTTTATATGCATCTCTCGCATGTGTATTAAGGGTATCCAGTAGAAGGAAATTCCTCAAATAAGAGGCCATATAATTTCTCTAGGGCATAAAACACTCTGCCCAGAAACATGAAAACAGGCCGATTACAAAGGAGTTACAGAGAAAGAAAAAAAATTTTAAACAATGGAACCTATAATATCCCTTTCCATATCTATCAGCAATAGACCTCCTTTTTGAAAGGTACTTTAAAATAAGTTTTAAAAAGTCCAGAAATAGACCACCCATTAGCTCTTGTTATTTCAATATAAATCTTAACATGATAAAGAAATTTTTTATATCCCAATCCTCTTTACTAAAATAGAATTGTTGCCCCAACAAATCCTACTCAACAAATAACACAATGCTCTCTTCCTGTTTCTTTGTTGCTTATCGGTAAAGACAAATAATATTTGACATTTCTGAGCACTTTCAATTTGTCAGATAGTGTTCAAAGTGCTTTGACTAAGCAAGACTAATGATCACTGGTCCATATTTCCTAATTTTTTAATTTAGATTAATCCGATGATACTAAATGATGATACTAAATGATATTTCATCTTAATCTCTCACTAAGTTGTTAATCACAAGCAAGTTTTTACGAGCAATTGCAAAAATTTAGTAAATTGGTATTTTAACCAAGAGTTTTGTACAAAGACACACTGAAAAACACTACTCTAACATAAACTCCTCTACTAGAAATATATGTGCCTTAAGGGCAGGGTCCTTGTTTTTCATGCCTAGAATAGTGTTCAGGGAGGTCTGATGAATGAAAGGCATGAAGGAGTATCACAAATGTGCAAACTTCTGAAAGCTATAAAGGTTACACAGGTTCTCTGTTTCTTTCTCACTGCATAGTCTTAGCAAGGGAATTAGATGTACATTGCATAAAAGAGAAGGGCACTAATCAATGAAAAGTCTTTAAATGCTAGAAGACCTTTCATATTTGAATTTCAAAGCATAATCCCTTTGGTTTTATTATTGTTGAAGCTTGTCACTAGTCTACCATAGTGTATCACTAACAAATTCAAGCCCACAGAATTCCCATCTGCTGTTGAAGCTACTACTCTGGAAAGAAAAGGAAAAAAGAAAATCTTGCTGAACGATAGAGACATCTGCTGGTGAAAATGTAATGTCTCTATCCTTAAAATACTTCATCTAGATGAACAAAGAGATTTGGGCAATAAAGTTTAGAGTAACACCTAACGTGTGACATCCTATTAGAATAACTACCTTCTACTAGGGTAATAATAAAAGGTAACATTTGTTTCTTTTATTCCAGAGGTGCCCAAGTGGTGACACTATGTGAAAAACTAGATTCTCCTGTAGTCAGTAACTATTGCCAAAGAACAGAAATGGCTAGCTTCCTGATCTTTTGGTTTAAGATATTTAATTATCTTTGATCTCAACAAACATTTAAGTGTCTACTAAATTAAGGTACTGTGCCATATGCTGGCAAACTGAAGCTATAAGATCAGGCAGAGGTGGCTGATGGTCTAGCAATCTCTGGCATGTGCCGACATCCAGCCTTAGAGAGGACTTAAACTCAACGTCTGCAAGAGATTGAGCCTACCACTTATGAACACTGTGCCTTTACCATTTTGTAAATAATACATAGGCCAGGTGCTTTTTACAAATACACTTCTACATTAATTGAACAAATGCCGTCCCACTCCTCACCCCCTCACTGTGTAGATTTCATCTCACCTTTCCAGTCTGTGCTCAAATGTCTTTTCAGAAAGCCCTGCCCTGAACTCTGTATATTGAATCTGTATGTTGTTTGGGCAGTATGGACATTTTAACAATACTAATTCTTCTAATTCATGAGTGCAGAATATCTTTCCATTTATTTGTGTCTTCTTCAATTTCCTTCATTAATGTCTTATAGTTTTCAATATACAGCTCTTTCATCTCCTTGGTTAAATTTATTCCTAGGTATTTTATGCTTTTTGATGCAATTGTAAATGGGATTATTTGCTTCTCTGAATTTGTTATTAGTGAATAGAAATGCAACAGATTTTTGTGTGCTGATTTTGTAGTCTGCAACATTACTGAATGTTTTAATATTTAAATAGCGTCTTTAGATATATATATATATATATACACTAAAAATATCATGTCATCTGCAAATAGTGACAGCTTTATTTTTTCCTTTCTAATTTGCATGCATTTTATTTCTTTTTCTTGCCTAATTGCTCTGGCTAGGACTTCCAAAACTATGTTGAATAACAGTGGCGAGAGTGGGCATTTTTTTCTTGTTCCTGATCTTAGAGGAAAAGCTTTCAGCTTTTCTCTCGAGTATAATGTTAGCTGTGGGCTTATCACATATGGCCTTTATTAAGTTGAGGTACATTTCCTCTATACCCACTTTGTTGAGAGTTTTTATCATAAATTGATGTTAAATTTACTTTTTAAATTATGTATTAAACCAATATTAAAACATACTGTCCTCCAGGAAATACCAAATGACCTTGGAAAAAAGTTATGAAATTCACCAGAAAGGGAGAATCATGAGGATGTACCTGACTTTAGGAAATTATCAGCAGAGTGCAGGCTGACCTAAGATTTCGCAGAAGACAATGGGTAGCCAGACTATAATCTAGATATCATTCTCTTATGTCATAGTGAAAAAGAATCTTATATGGTTATGCTTCATGGAAAATGTGGCTAATTAGGAACCACTTCCTCATAAATGTTAATGTTAATTTTACATGTGATTATTTCATTAGAACTGTCTTTGAGTAGTTTAATTGCTTTCTGGTTCGAAGGTTTATTAGTTTCCATTTTTAAGTGCTTAATACATAGGCCAGGTTCTGTGCAACGCATGTTCACTACATAATTCTGGGAGGCAGATTTTATTATGCCATTTTTCAAAAGCAAATGAAGCCTAGAGAGGTGAAATACCATACCCACTACTAAGCAATAAAGCTAAGATTAACGATCAAGTCTGACTCCAACATCTATACCACAACACTATCATGCTTTACAGTTTTGTTTACATATTACTTATGTACTCATTTAAAAACTGAATGATATCTGTCATAACCACAATAGGATGCAGAAAGTACCACAAATTGGTAATAAAGTTAGATGCAATAAAATGCTGCTTCTGGATTTTATTTTTGAAAACTGGTCAAACACGTCCATCTTCCAGTTCAGCACAGACTCTGGAAACTGTAATAATTTGTTTTCATTATAAAAAGACTTTGCCAAAGTGCACTTTGTGAGCTGCACCAAGGTAGTTCAGGGCATACGCTCTGGAGCTGAGGCTTCAATTCTGACTCTACCATTTATTTTGCTGTATGCCTTTGGACACATTCCTTCACTTATTTTTGGTTCTTGTCTAAAACGAGATTCGTTAGTAATAACCATACTGATGTAATTGGCACTCGCAAACATTAAATGAGTTTAATACATGTAAAGCATTTAACTGACACACAGCACTCAAAAAACATTGGCTCACATTGTCCAAATCCAAAGTATCACTTAAATCTTTTCATACTATCTTTTTGTAAACAGATTGTACTTTTTTAAAGCAGTTTAAGATTCAATGGAAAATTGAGGGGAAGGTAGATATTTCCTATATACCCATCCCTCCACCCCAGCTACTCCACATGCATAGCCTCCCCCATTATCAACCTCCTCCATCAGAGTGGTAAATTTGTTACAAATGATGAATCATCCAAAATCCAGTTTACGTTAGAGTTCATTATTAGTATTGTACATTCTAGAGTTTTGACTAATGTATGACGTGTATGTACCATTATAGATCATTCAGAACCATTTCGCTGCCTTAAAAATCCTCTGTGCTCCACTCGTTCCTCTCCCTTTAGCTCTAAACCCTGGCACCTACTGATCTTTTAACTATCTCCACAGTTTTGCCCTTTCTCGAATATCACTTAGTAATATTCATTTAAGGTTCCTCCATGTCTTTTCACGGATTAACAGCACATTTCTTTTCAATACTGAATAATATCCCATTGTATAAATGTAGTTTACTCATTTATCTACTAAAACACATACATCTTCGTTGCTTCCAAGTTTTGTCAATTATAAAAAGTTGCTATAAATAACCGTGTGCAAGTTTTATATGGAAATAAATTTTCAAATCATTTGGGTAAATATCAAGGAGCAATTGCTGGATCATATGGTTAAGTGCATGTTTAGTTTTATAAGAAACTATCTTCCAAACTGGCTGTAGCATTTTGCATTACCACTACTAATGAATGAGCATTCCTATTCCACCTACACACCAGCACGTGTGTTTTGAATTTTAGCCATTCACTATCCTGTTGTTTTACACTTTATAAAATGTGACATTTATGAGCTACCCCAAAAAACATTTCAGTAATGTGGATTACTGGTGAAAACTAGGTACATATGGCTTAAAATCTAAAAAATCATTTATCCTAATTCCATTAGTATGTAGTTTGCTTTCCCATCCCAATGTTACTTTGATGAATTAGTGTCATTTCCATCAAGTCTTTCGACTACACTTATTATTAGCTACTTAAAACCAATTCAGATGTACACATTCACATTCCTGACCGTCTTTATTTGACCTTTACAACCGACAGACTCCATTCCCACTGTGACAATGTAGTGAGCCTACACATAGTTTTTGGACGCGAGACTATTAGTCAAGTGTAAATTTTAAGCTTCTGTAATCCTAGTAGAGTACAATAAAACTAGTTCGATAAACAAAATGAGGTCATATATAAAAGCTGTAACATGGTTCATTCAACTAACCCCATGTTCCGATTTTCAAAGTCCTGGTACTTTCAAAACAAAATCTGCCAGGGTCTCACGACACTGGTCTCGGGGGCGGCGCCCAAGTATTGGTCTTCTCTAAAATCTCCCCAGATAGAAAAGTAGCAAAGGTAAAAAGAGCAGTGCTTTAAGACAGATTGTGCACTAGAGTAGTATCTTCCTACACTCGGGATATATTTCATCAAGAATTGCATTACACGCCCAAACAGGTAACACCTCATTTTAATCACCTATAGCAAAGCAGACCAAAGGAGGAGAGCCAGACACACAATTCCTGGCTTTCTCCTGCACTCAGACCTGGCTTTCAAGCACCCCCACCCCGCAGCTCCCTCTGCTCCGAGCCCCGGAGAATTATGAAACTTGGCCCGCGCGCGCGGAACCCAACTTTGCCCAAAGCCAGAAGGATTACAATTGCCAAAAAAAAGGGGGGGGAAACCTCCTTTATATCATCGGTAGCAGGGTAGTCTGTACCGAGATTTCCTAGCAGGAGGAGAGGACACGAGACGACCACAGACCACCACCACCACAGAAACTGGGACTGAAGCTCCAAAATCCGAGATTTTCTTTCGCGCTCCAACTTGGCCGGAAGTTACGCAAGCAGTCGCCGCTGGGGGCCGCCCCAAGGGAAGGAGGAGTGGGAGGGGGAGCGTGCGGGGGCTGGAGGGCGGGGCACGGCTGCAGCTCCGTTTCCGGTGGCTCGTCGCGCTCGCTCACTCCAGCTGCAGCCACTCTTGCCCGTGGCTGCTTCCTCCATCCTGGTATTTTTTGGAGCCTCCATCCTGGTTCTTCCAAAGTGCCCGGACCCAAAACAGGAAGTAAGTGCGATGGAACCTTTAGGTCCCAACTGCCGCTAGGGCCGCTCCGCCCAGTGGAGTCTGTCCGGCCCCCTTGCTGCCTGCCTGTTCTCGCCGGCCAGCGCAAGCTATCGGCCCCCGGGCACCGCGGGCGGGGTCGGAGCTGGGCCTTCGTGACGCTGAAGCTGCCGGCCCCGCACGTTCAGGCCAGGGCCTCCCTCTCGGGGCCGGGCCTGTGGCGGTGGCTCGGGCTGCAGAGCAGGGTAGCGAGCGGCCGCCGAGACGCAGCAGCGATCTGACGGGGGGCGGAAAATGGCGGCGGCTTCGGAGGAGCTAAATGGCGCCGGGACCCCTGGGGGTGGGGAGGGCCGGGAGCTTCGGTAGAGAATTGGGTCCGGGAGCGCAGAGTGTAAAGAAGCCTTACTTGCCTTCTCGTGATGTTCCCTTTTAATTTTTTTTTTTTGGATTACTTTCTGGTTTTATTATATGGCTCAGTAAAGGAGAGGTGGACCTGGGTGGGATTGAGAGAGTTGGGGCGGGTTTCGCCCCACCCCATCCCCCTTGATTTTTTTTTTAACCTTGTTTGTGTCTCAGAGTCTCCCTTCTTTTGGGGTTCATTCTCGATCCGGCTATTCGTGGCCCAGGCTGAGGGAATCGCGTTTGCTGGCCGAACTATATCTTTGTCAGCCTGAGTCTTTTTGAGGAGGGATGTGGGCTGGAGTGCTGGAAGACAGTCCTAACCGAGCAGAGAACGGTGAAATGCGTCAATTAAATAGTAATTGTCAAAATTTAAGAAGTTCCGAGGAAGCTAAATAATTTTTCAATCTCCTTTGTCCTTTAAAATAGACTTTGTTTTGAGTACCTCTTCAGGGACGTAGAGTTTTTAACCCCATCTACGACGTAGACTTGAGAGTAGAAGTGGCCAAGTTCCGTTCTATGCAGTTGAATGATACAGCATGTGTTTTTATAATAAAAATACTCGCTGTAGATAAGGAGAGGGTGACACTTCTATGAAATGTAAGTCAGGACTCCTCCCTTTCTCTGATTGAATTTGGAAATTCAAATTCACTGGTGGTTTTTCTCCTACCTCCTTTATTACAGGCGACGCTGCATGTTGGGACAGCCGACAAAGTGCGTATTTCGTAGGATTACTTTCTAGTCAGTGTTTTAAGCTTAGAATAATACCATTTGGAAATTTTTTATCTTTTGTTAGTTACACCCTTGTTTTTAATTCTTGAAATACAATTACCTTTTCTAGTTTTTAAGCTCTAGTCTAAAAGTATTCCATTATGTTGAAAGTTTTACAAACAAAATCTATTTTTTTCAGTTAAGGATTTTTATATTTTTCCATTACTTGCGATTCTTTAAGCTGGTTTTAAATTTGTGTTTCAAATAACTTTTGGAGTGTTAACCGTATTTTTTTAAAGTAATTTGAGTAATTTACCACTGCTTTAACGTTTAAAGACTCTGGTAATAATACCCCAAAAACTTAGCTTTTTACTATTATGGTTTAATAGCGATAAGATTTTATTAAGTTATGATTTAGAAATTTAAGATTTAGGAAGAAAATTAAAATTACATTTCTTAGCATTACAAAAATGGTTAGGCCTTAAGAGTTTTTAAAAAAGGCTTGTGTAAGAATAAACTTTTTCTTTATTCACAGGGACAAAAAAACAACTTGATCCTTTCTGAAAAAAACATTACTTGTTAAAGTTATGGGGGAAAGTACATATTATGTTTGTGATCATTTTATCATTATTTTAACTCCCATACACTAAGTGCTTTTATTTGCCAAGCTGATTATTTCCTTACTATTTTGGTTGATAGGGTCACCCCAAAATATGATTTTGGGGACTGATCTAGATCTGCGTATTATGTGTGAATCTCTTTAATTGATTGCAGTTGAGCTAGATGGTGGACCCAAAATCTATTGTCCTGTCTTCATCCACAGATTATCAGTAAAAGTACTGGGCATTGCATACTTATTTGGAATTTTAAGTCCATACTTTGAGCAGTTATATGAGTAAATATATGCTACATAAACATGTTTCTTCAGGTGTTCGGGTTTCAGAAGTATTTTTGTGGGAACAATCAAAAAAGGTTTTGGAGTTAGGATTTGAGCTTAGAGAACAGAGCACATCTGGAAAACGGTTACTGGCAGAGAATTATATCAAAATAAGATGAGTGTCTTTTTTAGTCTTTTTTTTTTTTTTTTTTAAGTTTCCCTTTTCTTACGTGATTTTTTTTTTTGTGAGGTGGAGAGAGGTTATTTCATTTCACTCCAAGATAGGAGAGAGAAGTCTATTCGTAAGGTTAGTTAGATGTTACTAGTTAGTATTGAAATCAGAACAGCAAAACTAGTTCTTACCTTCCACACATAATGTTTCTCCTATTGCTCACTTCTTTTATCTCTCCAACTTCTACAGGCCCTAGTTTTTATTAATGTTGTAATAAATATGTATGTCCTGAAATAACGTCATGCTATTTTAAATATATTTTAAATAATTGCTTTTGTCTGCTCCTTTAAGTACATTGGTTTAAGTTAACACTTGCGAGGATGAATAAGATAATGTGAAACAAGTATCTTAAGAGATTCACAGCTTGGCACATAGATGTTAAAATATTGAGGGGGTTGGGGAGAAGTGTTTTAAAAGTGTTTCAAAAACATCAAAACTTTAGAAGAGCAATAAAGTTTAGGTAGAGTTCCATTTTTTAAATATATACAGAGGCTGCCTGTTTAACACAAGTGTTAGCCTGCCTTCTCAAAACAGTTTTAATATTCAATTTTCTCTTGCCATCATTTTTAGCACTTTTTCCCTTATTAAAGGATTCCCTAGTAATTGATATATTCTAGTTTCAGCTGAAAGCTATTTCTATCCCCAAATGATATAAAGTGACCTGAGAAAGTGATGAACCTATTGCTAAGTGTGTTAAATATAAAATACAGATAGTTATTAAATGTATGTGGCATTCGTTTGCTGGCATATCATTTCTCCCTTTTTCATGTTTTTTTTTTCCCCTTTTGTGAAGAGAATTCTTATAGAAATCACAAATAGGTTTCATTTTTCTTTTGATTTCATAAAGGTAAATAATAAAATAAAACCTGTTTATCAAATCTGCTTTTGCAAGTTTGTGGATAGATACCTCGTTCTGTGACTGAATACCAGGAAGAAGTTATTAAAGGAAAGTACACTGGAGAGCCCTGTGTGAATGATTTAATTGTGTTTTGGTTTTTGTTGTTTTGCTGTCATTTTGGTTATGTACACTTATGTTGTCTGGCCGTTCTTCTAAGTGCCAGGTTGTCAAAGCTCATCTTTATTTACCATCAGGTGTTATGTAGCAAAAGAAATGTTAATTAGATTTATGTACTATTTATGAATGTCGATTGAGGAAGTGCGCTTTAAAGATCAACTTCAGTGTAAATCAGAGAAGTATAGTAATAACTTGATGTACTCCTTTTAAAGATCCGATGCTGGTTTGCATAAAGTGCTCAATTTTGAATGGATAAACTCTTAAAATGAAGCCAAGTACACATTATAGCTCTTAAATTATTCGCTGGGTGAAGAATAACATTTTAGCTTTTAATAAATGATAATTTTATTGCCAAACCAGATATAAAATGCTGCACCTTGAAATGAACCATTTACCAAGTAATTCTCATTTCTCAAATGACAACATTGTTTTCAATAGTTGATAATTGGAATCAACATCTTAAGCAATTAAAGTCTATTGTAGTAAACTCCATTAACATCTTTATTGACTTTTTATGGTATGCAGTCATATTTTACCATATTAAAACCAAGCCATAATGAGCATTAAGTAAGTACCCTAATTTGGTATGCTTTATGTTCATCTATAGCTCTACTTCTCAGACTTGAACAAAGTATACGGAAGAACAAATCCCCAAGGACCTGAGACCATAGTTGAAAGCATTAAACCTCAAGCATGTTGTGTCCCCCAATCCTAACTCAAATAAAAGTAATATTCAAGATGGTATTCTGTGGCTTTGTTTTTCTGACATCTCCCTATGTAACCCAAGTTCAAGATGTAGGAATTTGTTACATATTCTATTAAGACTTTCTGTTTAGCAGAGTTTCATGCTTTCAAAATAATACCTTAAAACACATCTTTCAGATTCTCCATTATACATTACCAAGCCAGTCCTCTTAGAGGCATTTCATATGGCATTATGCAATGATGGTGGTGGTCAATTTGGAGTCTTTATACTAGCATGACCTCAAAACAAAAATGTTTGGTAATAGGTTAATGGTTAGGTAAATGTAGATACCATGCACTCATTAAAAATGTTGCAAAGAGTAGGTAAGATTGGAAAATGCTCCTGATAAAATAATTACCAAAAAAATTTATAAAAGATGTGACGGTGTGATCTCATTATAAAAACGGTAAAAAGTAGGTATGTTAATACATGGATAAGACTTGGGTGATCACAAAAAAGTTACTGAGGAATATAATTTTCTTACACATCAACTCGGAAAAAGGACATCAGAAAAATGTGTCCTTGCTGTGTTATAAATTGAAGTATGCCAGATACTTCGCCTCTTAGCTAGTACTCAATCCCTAACTCGTCTAATAAAATTCTGGTGCTATATATTCTGTAGCTTGCTTAATTTCCCATTATAAAAGTATAATGTTTTTCACACCATGTAGTTTCATCCCATATTTCAGTGTGGAATCACAGCTCCAAGCATCTAGGGTTAGCAAAAGTTCCTGTGCTTCCATGATCTCCACTAATAGAATCCACCCTTACCCACTTGTATTGGTACTGTGCTTGAGAACTGATACAAATTTATCTAAAGAACTAGTCCCAAAACTAGGAAGAAATGTCACTTGGTTTGTTGTAGTTTTTAGAAGATTTGGCACTTAATTGTCTGGAAGATCAGGGCAATTATGTGGACTCGATTGATGGTGATACAGTCTAAAATAATCCATTGAATAATAGCTTTACCTCAATACTGGAATTGAGTAGGATTAAGGACTCATCTCTTTAATTCTGTGTTAAATAACAGATCTAAGAGTTGTTCTTTTTTTACATTAGTATCTCGTTTATTGGGAGCTATAAATAAAAAATTTATTTCTCATTTAAATGTGAGTATATGTAAGTACCCCATTATAAAAGTTCTGTACCACATTTCAGGCTTGCTTTCCTTGATTTTATTAAGGTATTGTTGGCTGTTTAAGATACCCATCAAATGATGGAAACATGCCAAAGTACCATTTTACCCTTTAAAATGGATGTTAAAATTTTTTTCTTTTATTTCTAATTAGTATAAAAATAGTACATGTGGTATAACTATAACCTATTACAGAAAAAGATGATCTAAATGGGCCAATGGTGTGTGCTTATTTGCCCCAAAGAGGACCAAAAAAATTGATGGTAGAATTGGAGATCTTCCTGACATATTTCCCTGATAAACCAGGTGGGGAACTGGTCTAGAAGTTATGTACAGTTTCATGTATAATGAATTAGAATACAGGCACTAAATACTCAACTTTTTAACTTACTATCGTAAATTAATTTATTCACCAACATTTCTCAGTCACTGTGATAGTCGTATCAGATTACAAATACGCTCTTCTAAATAAAATCTGACTTGACCCAGTGATAGCAGGTATCTTCTCACTTTACTAGAAAGCTAAACCTTGTAAAAAGACCTGTTTGAATTGTCTTCCCTACTTCCATTTCTCTGTGTATTCCAGTAGTAGGGCTTCTGCCCCCACTCACTACTCCTCTGAAACTTCTTAAAGCCACCAATGTTCTTCACATTGCCAGATCAAATAGTCACTTCATCATCTCACCCTCTCAGCAGTATTTAACACAGTTAACTACTTGATGCTCCTTGAAAAACACTCTTGTGCTTGTGCCTCTTAGTTTCCACTTAGTTTTCATCCTGTACTGCTGCCTGGTCATCCTCAGTCTCCTATTTGTTTATGAATCGCTTGACTACCTGCTGTTACAGAGTGCTCCTGAAGTAGAATCTAGGCTATCTTCTCAAACCTCTAGGTGTTCTTATCTTTGAAAACAATTGTCATACCACTAACTCAAATACATAGGTCTAATTCTTGCCTGTTGAATTCCAGCTTCCAACTATCAACTTGACATCCTCATTTGCATTCATTTAAGTATTAATCTAATCTTTATTAATAGTCATAGAACTACTTAATAAAATATATTCTCAGTGCCGCAAAACTCAGTTGTTCAAGCTGAAAGCCTAGAATTATCGTGAGATAATTCCCCTTCTCTTAATCTCCATCTCTTCATTCAGCAAATCCTGTCAACACTGCCTCCAAGTTATCTCTTTGCCCAACCCCCTTATCTCTGCCACCTATTCCAATTGGCAGTCATCGCTTGGACAACAGCTTTCCTTAACTACTCTCTTATGCATTATCCATACTGCAGTCTGGGTGATCTTTTAAAAATGTAAATTGTATATCCTAACTTAAAACCCTCCAAAGATTTGCGAAGTCTGTCTTTTTCTTATCTCCAAACTCTTAAATTCAGCTACTTTCTCTCTTAATCAAAAGCCTCTGCCAAACCAGCTGCCTTTTCTTCTAACAAGACCAAATCAGGTCCCACCTTAAGGACTTTACTATTAATCAGTTGGCCGACTTGCAGTCACATACTTGCAGTGATGTGTCTTCATCTTGCCATTGAGGCAATGAAAAGTAGCATCTCAGCAGCAAGCCACCATAGCTTTAAATGGAGCATCTGTGCATTATCTTTATTTATTTTATACATCCATTAGTAAGATGTGTCCTAAGGTGTCAGAAAAGCCTAAGAGCTCATAAGGGTGTTACAGTTTGCATAAAACGATTCAATTAAGCATACAGGCATACCTTAGAGGTATTGCAGGTTCAATTGCAGAGCAGTGCAGTAAAACAAGTCACATGGGTTTTATTTTTATTTTCCCAGTGCATATAAAAGTTATGTTTATACTGTAGGCTGTTAAGTGTGTATATAACCATAATAAATAACTTTATTCTTAAAAATTGCTAACAATCATCTGAGCCTTCAGTGAGTCATATCTTTTTACTGGTGGAGGGTCTTGCCTTAATGTCGATGGCTGCTAACTGATCAGGGTAGTGGTTGCTGAAAGTTGGGGTGGCTGTAGCAATTTCTTAAAATTTAGGAAAATGAAGTTTGCTTCATTGATTGACTTCCTTTCATGAAAGATTTCTCTGTAGCACGCAGTGCTGTTTGATAGCATTTTACCCACTGAACGGCTTTCAAAATTATAGCCAGTGCTCTCAGACCCTGCCTCTGCTTTATCAACTAAGTTTATGTAATATTCTAAACACTTTGTTGCCATTTTCAACATCTTTAGTAGATTTCATCTCAAGAAACCTTTTTTTTTTTTTGCTCTTCCATAGGAGGCAACTTCTCATCTATTCAAGTTTTATGAGATTACAGCAATTCAGTGACATCTTCAGGTTCCTCTCCTAATTCTAGTTCTCCTGCCATTTCCACCATATCTGCAGTTACTTCTTCCACTCAAGGCTTGAACCCCTCAAAGTCATTCATGAATGTTAGAATCAAATTCTTCCAAACTCCTGTTAATGCTCATATTTTGAACTCTTCCCATGAATTACAAATGTTCTTAATGGTATCTAGAATGGTGAATCCTTTCCAGGTTTTCAGCTGACTTTGCCCAGACCCATCAGAAGAATCACCACAGCAGCTATAGCCTTATAAAATGTATTTCTTAATAAGATTTGAAAGTCAAAATTACTCTTTGATCCATGGGCTCCAGAATGGATGTTGTGTTATTGTTAGTGGGCATGAAAACTACGTTAATCTCATACAGCTCCATCAGAGTTCTTGGATGACCAGGTGCATTGTCAATGAACAGTAATATTTTAAAAGGAATCTTTTTCTGAGCAGTGGGTCTCAACAGTGGGCTTAAAATATTTACTAAACCGTGTAAAGGGATGTGCTATCATGTAGACTTTGTTTTTCCATTTATAGTGCACAGGCAGAGTAGATTGAGCATTATTCTTAAGGGCCCTAGGATTTTCAGAATGGTATGTCCCTCGAAGCTTTGAAGCTAAGCATTGACTTCTCTCTAGCTGTGAGAGTCCTAGTTGGCATCTTCTAGCATAAGGCTGTCTCATCTACACTGAAAATCTGTTGTTTAGTGTAGCCACCCTCATTAATTATCTTAGCTAGATCTTCTGGATAACTTGCTGCAGCTTCTACATCAGCGCTTGCTACTTCACCTTGCACTTTTGTGTTATCAAGATGCTTCTTAAACCTCGTGAACCAAACTCTGCTAGCTTCAAACTTTTCTTCTGCAGCTTCCTCACCTCTCAGCCTTCATAGAATTGAAGAGCTAGGGCCTTGCTATGGAATAAGCTTTGGCTTAAGACAGGGTTGTGGCTGGTTTGACCTTCTATCCAGACCACTAGAACTTTCTCCATATTGGCAATAAGGCTATTTTGCTCTTTTATCATTTGTGCATTTACTGGAGTAGCATTCTTAACAACCTTCCAGAACTTTTCCTTTGCTTTCTCAGTTCGGCTAACTTGGGCACAAGAGGTCTAGCTTTCAGCCTATATATGCTTTTAACAGGCCTTCCTCACTACCCTTAATCATTTCTAGCTTTTGATTTAAAGTGAAACACATACAGCTCTTTTTTATTTGAGAGGCCATTGTGGGTGTAGGATCTCATCATTTCTGCCCTTCGTTGGGGAATACTTTTAGACTGATTTCCTAAAGGTCTACTTAAGAATGCTGGTATTGTCATTATTCTAGTTGACAAATAACGGAGGCTTGAGGCTAGGGTGTTATCAGCATACTGCTTGCACACAATTGTTTGTTCTTGTAAGCCTTATTGTGTAATGCTGTTACTTTTTCAGAGTGTTGTAACTGCAGGAACATGGGGAAGAAACAATCTGGATAACATGAAAGTGATGCTGGTGACTAAGGGAAGGCGACTTGATTCTATGGGAAGGGCTATAGCTGATGCATTTGTTTTCCAGGTAAGCCTGCCTTTGTTCCAAGGACTTCACATCATGATTTGCAAATTTTAATCATAACTAATAATAAAGATAAACTTCTATTTATCTTTAATTTGGAAATGGCATCTTTACCATTGTAAAATAAATGATGTCCTTTTAAAACAGTAATTTGTATAGTAAAACTTAAATGAATCACTGGATCTTCACCATGTAAATGTTAATAGATCCTAAGTTTTTCTGCCTAGGGAAAGTGCATTCGTGTAAATGGTAAATATATGAACAGACTCATATCTTATGTGTAGGAGCCAAATAGGTATTGTGATTAGCTTAAATACACATCAAGGCTTCCATCCTCTGTATTATGTAGTTGGTAAAAAGGTATGTGGACAAGACCAAAACTAAGTATTGCGTCAAGAACTTCATTAAACATTATAAGATAAGCCTGAAGACTTCAGCCAGGCTATTGATTATAAATAAATACATTTCTCCCTGCCAATCATGAATACTCTGCATAAAATAGCAGGTAAAGGCACTTTAAACAGAAACAGAAAGCATAACTCCATATACCTGTTAGAAAAGCATTTGATCCATGACGTATGTATGCACGTGTTTAATATTACGAAAAAATTTTTGAGAAGAATTATTTAGTGTTCCTATTGGTCAGAAAATAATAGAGCTTAAATACTTGTAAAAATATTTTGGAGAAGTAATTCTTAGATTAACGTAAAAGTTTCGGCGAATCTTCTAAAGAATCATAAGTTAAACTTATCACAAAGCTGTCAATCAAAAATAAAAAGTGGTGAGAGTTTTGCTGACATGACAACTTAGAACAAATTCTTTCATCGCATGTGGTAAAAACATCTCTTAAAAAAGTGAATGCTGTACGTTTTTAATCATAGCAGTCAGATTCTTGGATATTATTACATCTAACTCTAAATAATGAGTACAGGTAGGAAAAACAATGTTTGAAATCTGAATGGTCATCACAATTTTACATAAAGAACACTATAGAAAGATACAAATTGTAGGAGTTTTGCAGAGGCAGGTGAGGGAAGTAGAGGACTACTTTATGTTCATATTTGGAAATTTTTTAAATCCTAATCTGCAGTCTGTTCTTGTATAGATTTGAGTATGAGCACAGTTGAAGAGGATTCTGACACAGTAACAGTAGAAACTGTGAACTCTGTGACTTTGACTCGGGACACAGACGGGAACCTCATTCTTCATTGCCCTCAGAATGGTAGGAGAACTTGCTGACATATAATTGTTAATCCTTTTGAATTTCTGGATTTATGTCAACTTTGATCTCTATTATCCAGATAAACATTTTAGGCTAGCATAGTAGGAAAGGAGTTTATCTCTTTGAATCATGAATTAATCTTAGTTTGTATTTTTATTTTTATATTTTTTAAATATACTTTGGTATATTTTTTAATTCACCATAAATTTTAACCTTTATGGGTGGTTATTTTATAAGCAAAATCTGTTGAGCCTCCAAAGATGATGAACTATAATACACTTCCTCTTTGATACTGTTTGATACCGAAGTATATGTAGTACAGTAGAAATGTAGAAATAGTTGTACCAATAGGAATAGATGAACATTTTTTTACTAGAACCTGTGTTAGAGAATTTTATGTGACTATCTGAATAGGATTTAATTTGATCATCTGTAATGAATTAAGATTCAACAGCCTTGAGACTTATGATTTTGTTATTTCTCTACCTATTCCTTATTTATAATTTGTTATTTATTTTGCTTTAAGTTTACCTTTGCTCAACCAAAGTTCCATCTTCTCTTTTCACTCCATCCTTAATCCCTGTGTTATTTTATTCAGGCTTTGTGGTTTTAACTACCACCTGCCTGTAAAAATTATTCAAACTTCTGTCTTTATTCTAAATTCTCTGTTTTTCATAGGCACCTTAAATTTCACATGTCTCAAACTGAATTATTTTATAAATTCCCCAACCTAGTTTTCCTTTCCTTACTCAATTTCATTACTTAGTATCTCAAGTCATAAATATGAATAGGAATAAATCCTTCTTTCATCTCCCACTTTCATCCCATCACGATGACTCGTTGATGGAATTATGTTTCTTGAATCCATTCCTTCCTCTCTCTTAAGTCTCCTTCCTTAGTTCATTTCTCACCTAAGTAGCTCTAATAGCCTTTTAACCAGTCTCCCACCTCTAATTCAAACTGCCAATGATATTGGTCATGGCTCAACAAAGTAAGAAGGGCTTTTCAAAGCTTACCGTGGTCTTTAGAATATAATTCAGGTTCTTTAATTTAGCACATAGGCCTTCCATCATCAAAGTTTTCCTCCATGCCTCACTTCCTACCACATTTCATATATGTTCCAGCAGCTCACAACTGTTTTTATTTTCCTGCCTTAAACTTTTTATGTCTTAGTACCACTGTACATGTTACTCCTACTGCTAGTAATAATCATTTCCCCCTGCCAGTGGTAATCGTTTCCCCCGGCTTCTGTTTCCCTTTCAAGTTCAAGACACCTTCCCCGGGAAACCTTCCTTCACCTCCAGTTTAAATTAAATGCCTCTCCTCTCTGCTCATATAATGACCTCTTCATTCCCTGTCATAGCTCTTATTACAAAGTTTTGAAATCATTAGCTTCATCATTTCCACTACACCGTGTCTCATTATTGTTCCCATCACTTACCACATAGTAGGCTTTCATCAAATATTTGTGATTGAATAAGTAACCAGCCCTTGTCTTTACACGTGAAATATTTGGAAAATCAGATAGTCAACAAAAGTGTAATATTTAAAAAGTGACATCTTTGTCATGGTTCCTTGTCTTAAGAATAAAAGTGACATCTTTGTCATAGTTCCTTGTCTTAAGAATAGAGGTGCTGAACCAGACATAGAGAAGACAATGTTGTTTTGAGTTCTACTTCTACAACTGGTTTTAGTTAACAGAGCAAATTAGTAAGAAGATTATTTTACAGTCATAACTTGAAGATTTTGTGTTTTCCTCATTGGTTTAAAGATTTTGAGATTTTTTTTTTTTTTCATTTTGTTACCTTTCATTAGAAGCTGATGAAATAGACTCAGAAGATAGTACTGAACCTCCGCATAAAAGGCTTTGTCTGTCTTCTGAGGATGATCAGAGTATTGATGATTCTACTCCTTGCATATCAGTTGTTGCACTTCCACGTAAGTCATGTGTATTAAGAACAGAGTTCCCTTTTGAAATCAAATTTTAGCTTGCAAGAGATTGAATTGACATTTGAAGGTGGACTTACACCTCTATTTTTCTTTTCATTTAGTCATAAAACCGCTTTTTAACACTTAATGAGCACTTATTTAGGTGCCAGGAGTGTTTATAAATCCTTTTACATATGTTGGCAATTTAATCTTCTTAATCTTTTTTTATTGTCCCCCTCACCCCACCCAGAAGGCTTCTTTTAAACTTTTTTTTCCTGATCGTGCTCTCCCCCATGAAATTTTAATACCACAGATATACTGTTTTGGGTTTTTGTTTTGTTTTGTTAATAAAGAGTATAATGTTTTTCACACACACACCCCAGAAGCATATTTGAGAAATACGCTTTCTCATTGAGAAAGCATGCTCTAGAGGAGGGGTTATTATTATCCTTATTTTATAAATGAGGAAACTAAGGCATAGCTTGTCTAAGGTCATGCCCAGGCATTCTGGTTCCTGTAATTCATACTCTTAACCTCAAAGCTGTACTGCCTCTTCACATGGTATATAGCTAAATGGAAGTTAGATGAGAATCCGATTAATTTATTCTCACTAAGAAAGTTTTTAACAAGTTAATATTCCAAGACCATTTAGAGTAGACTGGATTCTAAGGGGGTATAGTAATTCAGGTGAAATACTGTAGGCGAAAGACTACAACATGCCAACTATAACATTAGATTATATTTCTGATTTATTTAGCAAAAAATAGGAATCTTGTTGAACTTGTGGCACCACAAAGCTGGAGTACATCTTAGGCAATGACAATGGGGTTGGGGCAAGGCTGTCGGCAGCACTCTGCATAAAGGAGAGTCTCGCCATATCCTAGAACTTTCATTTTGTACCACATCAAGCAAAATCACATCTTCATCCAGTAGAAAAACTAAGACTAAGTGTTCATAGAAAATCATGTCTTCCCAAAGTAGATACGTACTCAGTATTTAGAGTTTAATTGCTTATTAAGAAAAGAAACTTTTATTTTTTCCCCCCAAATATATGACTCCTTTTACCCCAGTCTACCTTCCCCATCTCCCCTTCCCTCTGGTAACCACTAATCCAGTGAAACTCTTTAATATCAGTATACTGTGAGACTTTGTTGAAAGACAGTGTTAATGTTAATATTGCGTCCAATTGTGACACTTGCAAACATAAACTATTTCTAATTAAGTGATCTTTGCTCCTAATGATGAGTCATATGATTTTTTAAACTCTTTCCTAATTTGATTATCATTATGTTGTGATTCAGTTTTAAAACTTGATTGGCCTATCTGTTTAGGTCCAATCCTCTGTGGACATTTTCTAAGGTAGAATTTTTTTTATTCAGATATAATTGCCATGTAACATTATGTTAGTTTTAGGTATACAACATAATGATTTGGTATATGTATATATTGTGAAATGATCACAATAAATCTGGTTAAAATCCATTACCACACATAGTTACAAATATTTTTTCTTGTGATGAAAACTTTTAAGAGTTACTCTCTTAACAACTTTCAAGTATATAATACATTATTATTAACTACAGTCACCGTGCTGTATATTACATCCTCAGGATTTATTTATTTTATTAAGCCAGAATTTTTGAGTGATTAATTTCACTGGTTAATTCATTTGGTTAAAGTATAGTGCCTTGATCATGATCGTAGGTTCAAATTATACTTGATATTTTGTTCTATTTTAGGGTAGACTGAATCCTTCACATCCTCATTCATTTAACTAGCTAAGATAATATGTCTGTGTTGACATAAAAATATTTGAGCTGCTTGATGTTGGGTCATAGCAAATCACAGATGGACAGCATCCTGGAGCCTAATATTTATGATTGAATTTATGAAAAGCAGGCTTGAAATATTTACATGTTCCCTGGATTTGTAAAAAGTATGTTGATAAAATCAGCTTAGGAAAGTTTCTTCATTTAAAAGTCACATAAAAACTAAGTCCTATATCCATCACTGTCATCCAAGATTGATTAAAAGTCATTTGTTGGACTTCATGGAAGTGAACATTAATTTTTAGAGATTTAACTTAAAATTTAATTTTAATATTCAGGGGTTTTTTTTACATGCTTTATAAAACTGATAAAATTTATCAATCTGAGCCTTAAAAGACCTCTTACCTCTCATGGTTAGCAGTCTAGATCATGTGTTAACCACTTCTTTTTGCAGTCATCTACCACCACATTTACTCCATTCCCTGTTCGTAGTTACTACTCTTGGTGATTATTCATTTAGGTGATTATTGCAATGCCTTAGCCTCCTGTCCCTTTTGTTCTCCACACTGCTTCATTTATCATTACTATTACCACTCTTGCTATTAGCTATTAACTGGAGTCCATTTGTGATCTACTTCAGATTTCGTTTCCTACCGCTACTTCCTGTATTTCCAGCTTACTTCCTCTAATACTTTTAAACTTCTGTGATCCTTTGTCCCTCTGGGATTCATTGATCTTAATTTTTTTTGTTTCTTCTCCACTTTGTATCCTGTTTCCTTCTTACCCAGTTTCAGTTTCATGGTTAATCATTGTAATCACTGTCTTGCATTTACTGTCCTTTTTCCCTTCCCTCAGTTCTTTGTTCTTTGGTCAGACCTCAACCCTGGTTAAATGTATCAGCCTTTTTATGTCTATATCCAATGAGAGAAAAACAGCACAAGCAGGCTGACTGGTCTCACTTTAAATCGATGATCATTAACTTGAAGTGGGCTCAGAGTGTTGCCTGCCAGTCACGCCGTACTTCTAGAAGTATTCTTCCCTTAATGAGATGACTGTTCATATATCCCCAAACCTCTATTACTTCCTCTACCATTTTTTACTCTCAACTGATAACCTTGCTTCCTACTTTAGTGGGAAAATTGAAGTAGCCAGAAACTAATTTCTATAAGTTTCTACTACCACAAATATACACCCACATGTATCTATGCCCATATATGCTATCTCTTCTCCTAGCTAAGGCCAACCCTTCGATTGATTAGGTCTCATCCCTTTTACCTACTTACAGACATTGTTGCAGCAATTCTTTCCTTTCTCTGTTGAATCATCAGGTTTTCCATCTCTACTGGATTGTTCCCATTAGAATGACAAATATACTGTAATTTTTTTTTTTAAATAAACAGTCCCATTAGTCCACTTTTGGCTTCCGTCCAATTCTTTTCTTTCCTTTAGAACAGAATACCTTGAAAGAATTGCCTATAGTTACCTTCATTTTTTTCTTCCATTCTTTCTTAAACCCACTTGTCTCACTTTTACCTCTATTACTTCTCCAAAACTGTTCTTCCCAGGTCTCCAGAGACCTTCTTGTTGCAAAATCCAACGGCGATTTTTTTTTTAGTCTTTGTTTTCCTTGATCTATCCATAATTTTTGACATTTATCACTCCCTCCTCCCTGAAACATTTTGTCACTTGGCTTCCAGGTAACACATTCCTCTAGTTTTCATCTACCTTTCAGTCTCTTCTTTCATTCTCTTATACTGACTTGTCCACATCTCGCTAACTTCTAAATGTGGTATGTCGCAGGACTCAGTTCTTAGACTGCTGCTGTTTTCCATTTTCACTTATTCCCTAGAATTCATGATTTTAAATGCTATCTTTGGTGACTTCCAGATTTATTCTAGTCCAGACTTTTCCTCTTAACTCTAGATGTTTTTAGGTATCTCAAACTAATGTGTTTAAAACTGAGTTCCTGAAACTTCCTAAATTCTTAAATTTGCTGCTTTTCCAGTCTTTCTAATCTCATTAATGGCAGGTACGTTTTTTCCAGTAGCTGGGATTCCAAAAAAGAAACTAGTATCACCCTTGACTTTTCAATTTCTCTCATATTTGGTTTATCTGCAAATTTTATTGGCTCAACCATCAAAATATATTTGATCTACTTCTCATCACCCTTACTTGCCTTCACTCTGGTCCACTGCGCTGTCTTCTTATCATGATTATTGAATTAGTTTCATAACTTATCTCATTCTAGCCCTTGCTGTTCTTCAGGCTGTTTTCCTCCAGGGCAACCAGAGTGATCCTGTTAAAAATAAGTCAGATTATATGACTTCTGTAAGTCTTCCAGTGATTTCCTGTCTGAGAGTTAAAGCCATAGTCTTTGCAGTGGCCTCCAAGTCCCCACACAATATTTTACTATTCTTGTTTATTCTGCTCTGGCCATACTTCCCTTCTTGCTATTCCTAGGAAAATCCAGGCATGCCCCCATCCCAGAGCCTTTCTTTGCACTTGTTGTTCCTTATGCTTAAAGTGCTCTTAGTCAAGATACTTACTTAACTAGCTCACTTCTTCACTTTTTTACAAGTCTTGATTACTTTTCTTGGCCTCCTATCTAAAATTTCAAACACCTTCCTCCACTCCCCAATATATTCCCTTTCTTGCTTTATTTGTTTTCCTTACTACTTATAACCATCCAACATGATACCATGTTCATTTTGTGTCTAACCCACTAGACTATAAGCACTATAAAGGCAGGATTTTTGTTTCTTTTGCTCATTGCTATCTCCACATCACCCAGAGAAGTACTAGTATGTACTTGGTGCACAATAAATATTTGTTAAATGTATGTATGTGTATGTATGCAAGGAATGTGTTAGGAAATTAGATGATCACATTTTTTCTATAGATTTTTTTGTTTGCAATCTATTTTATTTTATTATTAGTTTCAAGTATACAGTACATTGGTTAGACATTTATATAGTTTACAAAAAGACCCCCCTGATTACTCTCTCTTCCCTTTGGCTCTACACATAGCCATTACTTTACTGCTGACTGCATTCCTATGCCATGCTACCCATCCCTGTGACCAACTACTAATTTGTACTTCTTTAACCCTTCACCACTTTCTCCCAGCCCCTCACCCCACTACCTCTGGCCGTCACTAGATTGTCCTTTATATTTGTGAGTCTGTTTTCTATTAGTATGTTCTTTTTGTTCCATAGATTATGCATATAAATGAAATTACAT